GCACAGAGGGTACCCTTTATTACGCGAGGCAGACCCAGGGATCGAATCCTACGCAACTATCAGAGAGCTGCTTCTTCTTACCACTGGGACCCACAGACGCTACTTCCGTCATCTCCAATCTTCCCATGCTTCCACCTGAGCGGCGTGTGGTGATGCCCCATGCCTTATTATGTACGCCCGATCAGGGGTTCGAATCCCATTAGTCCTTATTGTGCCTAGCAAACGGCTAATTCTAATCTTTAGTAGTAGCTCCCGTCATCACCCTCCTTCCATTGTTCGAGCAGTCTTCAAAGTCCCACGGCTTCCTTCTGACCTGGGTATGCGTGTGTGTGTGTGTGTGTGTGTGTGTGTGTGTGAGAGAGAGAGAGAGAGAGAGAGAGAGAGAGAGAGAGAGAGAGAGAGAAGGAGGGAGGGAGGGAGGGAGGGAAGGGGGAGATAGAATGATAAAAAATAGATTAATAGATATATAGATACATAGATGGACGGATGGAAAGATGGAGGGAGGGGTGTATGGATGGATGGAGGGATGGATGAAGAGAAAGGGAGGGAGGGAGGGATGAAGGGATGCCCGGACGGAAGGAAGGATGGAGGGACACACGGACGGAGGGATGGACGGATGAAGAAAGAAAGGGATGGAGGAAGGGAGTCAAGGGAGGGATGGAATGACGGACGGATTGAAAGAGGGAGTGATGGATGGAAATACAGACCTGAGAGCAAAACCCCCTGAATGCAGAGGAATTGAACACTGCAATTCTGAACGACCTTAAAAAGAACTTGAAGGATACAGATAAGACTGGCATGGCCCCTGTGCAAGGGTGGCATTCATACTCTGCACGTTTGGCTTATGGCGGATGAGGGCATACTCACACAGTCACACTAGGCCCTCCAAATCCCAAAATAGAAGATGAGCGGGCAGATCTACTCCTCCGTTTACAAGGGGTAGGAGATCCGGCTGCTCAATTTGCGATTATGAGATTTTGAGGGCCTAGTGTGAGTACGTGTGTTACTGGATATGCAGCCACTTTGACTTAAAAGGACATTAATTTCGCTGAAGCGTCCTAATGCCGATGATGAAGGAAAGCATGCGTGAACGAAGGTGAATGGAAATGAACACACCAAGTTCATCGAGGTCATATGAGACCTGGTGGGTAAGTAGTAGTAGTAGTGTTGGTAGACGAGGGGGGAAAAAAGTAGTGTTGGTAGACGAGGGGGGAAAGAAAAAAAAGAAGAAGAAGAAGAAGAAGAAGAAGGAGGAGGAGGAGGAGGAAGAGGAGGAAGAGGATGAAGAAGAGGAAGACGAGGAAGAGGAGGAAGAGGAGGAAGAGGAGGAGGAAGAAGAAGAGGGGGAGGAGAAAGAGGAGGAGGAGGAGGAGTAAGAAGAAGAAGAAGAAGAAGAAGAAGAGGACTGAGAAGAGGAGGAGGAAGATGAGGAGGAGGGAGGAGGAGGAGGAAGAGGAGGAGGAGGAGGAGATGAAGGAGGAGGAAGGAGGATGGACGAGGAAGAAGGGAGGACGAAGGGAAGAAGAAGGGAGGGGGAAGAAGAAGAAGAAGAAGAAGAAGAAGAAGAAGAAGAAGAAGGACACAAGACGGATCATAAATACCGAGCCCAACTTCCACTTATTGTCAAAACATGGAAAACCGCAAGGTCCAGAGGGGTTGCCCGATCGGTTTCGGCTTGTCCGGAGGGGGGGGGCGACCAATTTCGGCTGGTTGCCACCAGCGCTCCTGAGGGTCTTTGGTCGCTTAAGGCAGGATCCTGAATAGACGGACTTTTACCTTTCTGGGGCTATTGGGCAAGATCAGGTGTACTACAGTCTTCCCCCGAACACAACGTACGGTCATTATAGCTGAATTTGGGGCATCCTGCAGTCTAAATACAGCTATAATCACCGTACGTTGTACTCGGGGGAAGAAGGTAGTGTAGTATCTGTAATGATCAGTTTAATATCTGATCATTATAATAAATCTACGGACTTGGACCGCCCAACGAAAAAAGGGTCCACAATTAAAAACGAAGGAATTACAAACCGCACCTCCCCGTGTGGCTCAACGGAAAACCCGTAAACGGTAGATAAACGGACCTAAGCTCGAATCCAGAGGGAAACAGTTCAAACAGATGAGGAAAATCACTCTTAATTTACCTTGAGGCCGATTATTTTGATGATGACATCTGAAGGCCGCCACACTACTGGAAAATAGAAAAATGAAACTAGTACAGGCCGATGAAGCTCAATTTTTCGAAAAACGAAATATTCTCCACATTGTCCACAATACAAAAAATGCATACGAGCTAAAATTCCTTCAATCACCACGGCTGTCTGTAATAACGGATAGAATCTCTCTCTCTCTCTCTCTCTCTC